GTGGAATTGAAAGAAAATTTGCCTTAGTTTCTAAAACTTGACTCAAAAGTATTGCTATTTTGTATTGCTATAGTAGTTTATTGTTTAATAGCAGCCTACTAACACTGCTTCGCAGGCACACATACCCCCCTGTTTATTCTTTTTCAAACAAGCTCAGTAAAATAAATAAATAAAGGCCACCATGAGTTACTATTTTTCAGTTTAAAATGAAAAGCCCAGGCTTGTTCAGAAGCTAATGTAACGTGGCTCCCGGGTGTGCGCACGCTAATAAGAGGATCTATTTCACGACCTTCATTTGACAATCTCTAAGCGTGCTTATAAACAGAATGAACACTTGGGTGACGAGTAAGATGAGGAAACGCCTTAATTTTAATTTCCGACACAAAGTTTCCCTGCTAACAGTTCTCCTGCCCTTATTCCGGAGCTAGGAAACGGGAAATAGATTTCTGAAACAGACTTGTAGTCAAGGTCAGAAAAGGGTGTCTCTGTGTTCAAGCAGGGGGCTCTGGGAACGCCCCCTGTCTCTGTTTCAGGAACTGGAAGCTTCCTGTCACGCTACAGCTCCAGCCTGATGGTCCCAGCTCCACTAAAATGCCAATTCAGAGACTATTCAAGCGCAGATTACCCTTCTTCAGCCTGCCTCTCACTATCCTGGAGAATGCATTGAGGATAGCTAGTGACTATAAGCAGATGAAAAACAGATTAACACTCCCAAGGGGCGAGATCGGCTGGTACCGCTAAGACCCGTGAGTCACCGTCTCCGGTTGCCCCATCTTCTCCTGAACCCAAAGAGCGTCTTTTACCCCTTCTGGAGGGACCCACTTCTAGGGGAAGCTGAGCAAGCCAGGGTATTACTTTCAAGGCGACTTCCTGCTCGCTTTCTTACACTCCAGTCTCCGAAGTAAAAGTTTTCTTTGTGCAACTTAGCATCCTTCCACCCAGGGGAGTCACTGTGGCCTTCCCCGATTTGGCCCCTAAGTGCAGGAAGCAAAGGAGGTCCCGGGTCAACAGGAACTCATCCTTCAAGCTCCTACTTAGTGGAAACTAGTTGAAGAAGAGAAGAGCCTGCTGAGCCCCGCTAGCAGCCACCGGTGGCGCCACCCTCGCCGTCCGGAACCCCCTCCCTGCGGGTCGCCGGGGCGCCCCCCCTCCCAGCGCTGGGGAGCAGGCTGGAGTGCGTTCCTGGAATGGAGGGTGGGGCGGGAACAGGGATCCCTCACCTGAAATCACTGTAAGGGTGGATAATCCAGAAGCCTGCAGTTTTAACCCTCTCCTGCTCCTTCTCGACCGCCTTCTGGCTCCCAAACATGCGGAGGGAAAATTTGTTGACCCCGGGCTGCAGCATGGAGGTAAACTGCCGCTGCATGAAGCCGTACTGCCGCCGGGGCCCCTCGGCGTCCTCAAGGACCCCCGCGGGCTCCTCGCCGCCGCCGCCGCCGCCGCCGTCCACCTTGAAGCACACCGAGTTGCCGTGCTCCTTGGCTCCGGCCCCGCCGCCCCCCGGCGGGGTGCCCAGGCGCTTCTCGGCCGCGGCGGGCCCCGCGCCCGTCGCGGGAGCCTTGGCGGGGAAGACGCTGTTGCCATCGTCCCGGCTGTTGGACGAGGAGTTGGGCTTGCCGCCTCCTTCCATGCCCGGCGGACGCGGCCCTTGACGGCGCGAGCTCCAGACTCGCCGGCCGCCCGGCGCCAGGGGCTTAAGGCCGAGGGGTAGGGAGACGAGCCGATTGCTGGCAAGCCTAGCTGCCCGTCGCGGCAGCGGCAGCGGCGGCGGCGGCTGCTGCTTCCCGCCCGCGCCGCTGCTCGCTGCGCGCCTCGCTCCCGCCGCCGCCGCTGCCCTCAGTGGCTGCGCTCCGGGCTCCGACGCGGCTGGTGCTGTGAGGCTGAGGCTGCCCGAGCGAGGCGAGGCGAGGCGAGGCTCAACCCTCGCGCGCCAGCGCCTCCCCGCGGCTGCCCTCTGCTGGCCGGAAAAGGTCTATTCCTTTGCTCGCTACACACTCTCCACTCTGCTCCACTTATGCTCAGCGTGACATTGAACTCAGAAGCCCTCAGAGACATTTATTGGCACATGTTGTGAAAGGCTCTGTGTATGTTTGTCAGTCAGAGAGACAGAGGCAGAAGGACAGAGAGTGACATCCTCATATTCATAGAGGCATTGTCTGAAGGACTATTTGCATGAGGTTACAGACGGCTAAAGGCGAAAGCCTGACTCCAAATCCTTGAAATTCAAGTATGAAGCTAGCTGTACATAAGAAAGTAAGAACTGACAATGGAGAATAAATCTCACGAATGAAAGGGAAGTTGTGTTTGTGTGTGTGTGAGAGAGAGAGAGGGGGGGGGAGAGAGAGGTGAAGGAAGGAAGCAGCAGTGAAAGAGACTAGGTCTGGAGGACTGGGGAACCCTTGGGACCTTTCACATGAAAAATTACACCTAGGGGCGAACAATTGCTCTCTCTACACTTTTCTTTGTTTATTTTCACAAAGCTCCTTAAGCAGATTATGGAATTTCTTTCTTATCAAGGCCACTTGCAAAAATATACATATGGGCAGGTCATCCAGCCACCAATGCTGACAAATGGCTTATGGAGAGACCTCATCTAAACTGACCTATCTTTTCAGATAAGTTATGTAAGCAATTAAGCACTAAAAGGCAGGCTTTCTGGTCACTGTTCACCTACAGCAGGCTAGAAAGTGAAGATGTCTGAAATCTAGGCAAAATGCAATAACCATTTCAGATGGAGGGGAAGTATTCTCAAGTGAAACTTACAATGTGCTACTAATGCTGAGGAAAACATTCTGAGAGTCCTTTTATCCCTCCGTGTCTCCCATACTCACCCGATTAGCTAAAAGAACCAAGATGTGCTGCCAAACTCACCAGTCACTCAGCAGGGCAGCTCCAGATTCTGAAGAACTTCAAGGCTCCCGTGGGCCCTGAAACATCTGTTCCTGATACAAGCATTACCTTCCTTGCCCCAAGGAGTCCCTGATCCCATGGGCTCCTGCCAGCTACAGCCACATTTTAAGGGGAAAGAGATGGGTACCCAAGGGAGGGAATCTATGCCAGGTTGGCAACCAATGGCCTCGCATGAAAAGCTGAGTCGGGACAATCAAGGTGCTATTCTGAGAAATTAAACAGTGATCAAGCTAATTAGACAAGGAGAGATGCAAAAATAAAGCTGAAGGAAGAAAATGGACAAGGGTTTAACAGATGGTGAGAGGGGAAACAAAAAGAACAGAAAGAAGTGGAAGCAAGAAGCCATTAGGCCTCACTGTATGACAACTCTGGAGATTTCCCTTGCCATCTACTCCCCATACATGTTGTTTGTTGTTATGTGCCGTCCAGTCGGACCTGACTCAGAGTGGCCCCTCCTTGGGTTTCCGAGGCAGTATCACTACGGAAGTAGATTGCCCCATCTTCCTTCCAAGGAGTAGCTGGTGAGTTTGAACCACCAGCCTTCTGGTTAGCAGTCAAGTGCCTTAGGCACTATGCTACCAGAGCTCCCACTCACCATATATAGCCTTATGTTAAATCTCATTTTTCAGTGAGCTACATCGTGACTCAGATGCCATCTGTTTTCAACTAATCAAAACCAAAACCTTAAGAAATATGTATAGATGGCCAAATTGTTAGTGGTGAGAAATAGGGAAATATGAACATCAGACATCTATGATCTATCAAAGTAGGGATGTGGGAAATCCCAGGGTCAGATGAGGATACTGGGTGCCAAGGGCAGAGGAAGCTAAAGGGAAGGATGAAAGCAAACATGCCAAAAGCACAATTCCACCTAAGACCGAGCCGACTGCTTATGCAACTCTTCTTCATTAGACTCAAGATGCTTCCTTACTTCACTTCCATTCTGAATGCTTCCCCAATCATTCTATTTTCAGTCATCAATGTGACAATGCATATTTTAACATAAATTTTAAATTTTATAATAATGTAAAGATACACCATCGAAAATGTTTTGCTAACCTAACAGTCTATGAAGTTAGTTTCTCTTATCTTTTAGTCTGTTATTTCATTACATTTTTCTTAATTGTGAACAGGAAGTCATTTTAGTGAGTTTTTGTTGAGTTTTAGCGTCTTTACAAAACCAACATGACATAATCATTGAGAAGTAAGATCTCAGAATAAAATTAGGAAATGTCTAAGTAGGGTCACAAGACATTGGTTGCTCCAGGGAAAGATTTTAGACCATATTTTATTCATTGTAATTCTCAAAAAATACATTAGGGGCAGTGATTTTTTATGTTAATGCGGAAGGAGCAACTTGGAAAAGGAGGGTGAGAATGGTTGCACAGTTTGAAGAATCCAATCAAGGTCACTGAATTGTACATGGAGAAATTGTTGGATTTGTTTATGTTCTGCTACATATATTCTCAACAACAGCAAAAAATAAATTGTAAACAATACATGTTTAATTTAAAGATGTGTATATTATGTCACTGTATTGACTTAAAGGTGTAAACATTATACAAAGTCAGGTATCTTCACCTTTACTTCCAAAGTGCTGACATAAAGTTGTTTAGACTCTGGATTTAAAAAAATAAATAAATAATAAGCTTTATGAAGAAGAAGAGAATCATTGTAATAAGATCAGCGTAGAATGAAAGGGTGAAAGCAATGAAAGAGAGAGAGAGAGTTAAATCCTATAACTGAAAAAGAAATGAATTGTGGGAAAAATAGAGAAAATGCTGGAAAATGTGTTTATAAAAATTGGCCAAATCATGAAATTCTGTTTCTGCGGTAAGGATAGACAAAATTTCCTTCATTATTTTAATTATTCCACAGCATTTCTGCATTCATCACATGAGTTGGATTTTTTTTTTTCACCAAGGAAGACATTTAACACCACCAACAAAACCAAATTCATTGTCATTGACTCAATTCCAACTCACAGTGACCCCCATTGGGTTTCCAAGGTGGCAAATCTTTACACAAGTAGATTGCCCCATTTTCCTTCCATGGAGTGACTTATGGGTTTGAACTGCCAACCTTCTGGTTAGCAGTCAAATGCCTTAGGCACTGTGCCACCAGAGCTCTGCCAGTTCCTTCAAGTCAACTCTGATTCGTGGTGAACCCTTGTGTGTCAAAGTAGAACTGTGCTCCACAGGGTTTTCAATGGCTGATTTGGGGAAGTAGATTTCCAGACCTTTCTTCTGATATACCCTTGAATAGACTTGAACTTCCAGCCTTTTGGTTAGCAGTCAAGTGTGATACCCACTTGCACCACTGAAAAAGAAATCAGGGACCAAATATTTGCTCAGAATGGGGTTGGGGGAGATAAGAACAGGGGGACTCCTCTTGTTTTGGCTTCCTACTCTTCATTCCAAAACCTAAATTTTGCTTTCTTACTGTCACTTCCTTACCTTCCTCATCTTATACTTCTATTCCCATCTTTCCCCCAGCCTCCCTACTCACATATGTGCTATGTTCCACAACAGGCCTGAACTTTGAGGATAATCTCTTCTTAGCGTGCTTCCCTGCATGCCCACTGAGAAACCATCTCAGGCTGAAATCCACCAGGTTCAATTAGGTTAGTGTTGTCTTCAAAGTCATATCAGACATAGGATTATCATCGTGTTGCACATCTCCTCATTAGATTCTCATGATATCAACGTGCTTTGTATTTTGGAGGAATTCTATTTCTGTCAACTCTTTGGAGAATGTCAATTATAAACTCATTTCACAAGAATGCCCCACCAATAGTTGTAATGGGTGTTGGTCAATATATACAAGTACATCTTTTAAAATGTTCTCTGTCTCCTTTAATACTCGGCTTAAGCTCAAATTGCCAACAGTGGCAGAAGATTAATACGAATCTAAAATAAAATCTCCATGCAGCAGACGCAAGCACATGTGAAATGAAACAAAAAAGATAGATAGGAGACTTGAAGTTTGACAGCTTCTTGGAATATTCTCACTGGAAGTTAAAGGTGTAGTGATGAAACATTTTGGTCCTCCATGTAGAACAGAAGAACATGTTAAACACTTTCACATGGGGGGAAATATTTTAATAAAAATTGTCTCTATTAAAGAAGGGAATAACAAAGGAAAAGCCACCAAAGGCAATCTTGGAGCCTCTCTGTGTCTTATGCACAAGCAAATGTAATTATTTACCTGGAAAGCAACTGCCAATACCATGCTTAATTGGAAACACTAGTTTCACTGTTAAAGTCAAGCATCAGACAATCACACCCATTATTTCCGCAATGTGTGGTAATCTCAGTTGATAATATTATCTCTCTGAAACCCCAAAAGAATCAACTGGATAGCCACAGTAATTTGTCATAGAATTTAGAAAGCTGGAACAAAATGAACATGGAAAACTCAGTATTTTCCCTAAGCATCAGCAGTAACCATAATGACATATACAGAAAGTAAGTCTTTTTAACACTGCAACTAAAAATGAAAATCATGCAGTTTTGAACTTAATGACTGATGTATGAGATTCATAGTTTTGAAAAAAACACAACACTTTTAACAGTTTTAAAAATGCATTTGGATAAATTAAGATATACATTGTCCATAATATAAAGATTTAATATTAAAAAGGTGATGTTTCATCCCAAATGGATTTTTAGATTTTAAAGTTGTGTGATTTGTGTTATGATTTTTTTGATGGGCGGATAACATGATAAAATATTTTTAT